TATTAATTATAGTTTAAGCAAAATATTAATTCTATTTTTTATAATAAATGAGAGGGATCGTTGGTTATTCGTAGAATAAGAAGTATCCAAAACAAAATTGAAGCTGCAATAAAAAATACACAAGTAAACTGATATTAGTTGGATAGATTTTAAAATGATTTTCAATACCTACTTTCGTTGGCAAATTTAGACTGCTTCATATAACTATGAAGATAGATATCTATCTATCTGCTATTATTTCTCAGTTTTATTTGCCGAGCTTATATACTAAAAAAGAGGGCGTCTGGAACAGACTAGAGTTGCCAGGAAAAGTCATGATCCTTCTAGAAACTCCAGCACGCATGCTCCCAGCGTCGCGCGACTTCCGCTGTCCTAACAATACTAAGACCATGTCGTCAGGATGGAACTTACGTTCTTCAAAAGCTGGAATAGGCTTCAAAGGAGCAACAGGAATTTTCTGGTAAGATTTTCCGACCAACTGACAAGTTTTACAAAACTGAGAAACATATTAACTAATTTTTGGCCAAAAGAAATGTCTCATGATTTTATCACAAGTCTTGTTGACACCTAAATGACTTCCCATGGGAAGTTCATGGTGGTGATGACTAGCTGCCTTCCCTCAAGTCTTACACTGCTAAATTAGAGACGGTTAGCGCAGATATCTCTCGTGTAGCTTTGCGCGAAATTCATAACAAACAAACAAAGAAACTGCTGAACCTTCTATTTAGCAGACTATACTCTTGTTCTGCGGGAAATTTGTGAACTGGAATATACCACATATATATAACTTAAATCTTGGACACTTAGTTTCGTTAGACGTAGGTTTGACTTTTCCTTCTTTTCTTTTCTTTTTACTATTATGAATATCAATTCTATCAAATATATACTCTCAGGTAGAAATGAGAAAAAATAGTAAATTAAAATTCATCATTCTCACAAAACAACTCAATTTGCTAAGAGACAGTTCGTTCATCCATAAGGAGGCATCTCATATTAATGTATTTAACCATCCTTTATAGTGTTACGTCTCCGTTTGTTAATTAACTTTCCGTAACTTCGTTCCGACGAAACTTTAGCGACACAAGTTCTTTACTTAATAAAACTGGTTTATTCTTTCCGAATACAATTTTACCGATACACTCAACTTCAACAATCGCGCTAAAACAAACGCTATATCAACGAACGTCAATAATACTTATGACTGTAGTTCAATTACTCACTATCTACACACACACATTACATTATTGTCCCGTCACGTTGTCACCCTCTTTTATATACCAGATTACCTATATCTAGTAAATACTAGAGCATTCGCCAAGGTACAGGATAGTTCTAGAAAAGAGGTGGCGCCACACCAGTCACGTGACCTCGATGACGCAACACTGCCCCTCCTTAGTACTGTTCGTCCCGAACAATTGCCACTTACAATAAACCAATAACAATTAACAATAACTTAATTAAATGTACAGAATTACAATCACAAAATTACAATTCAACAAAGTCTCTTAATTTTACGGGACGTATCTTCTTCCGTACTGGTCTCCGTCTTGTTGGCTTCTGCTTCATGTGGGGTTCATCTGCTTCATCAGTAAATGTCCTATCATCGGTAACAGTCACATCAGTGGTAGTAACTTCATCAAGAGCTTCACCGTTTCCATTCTCAAAACCGGGTAGAGTTTCTTCTTCGACAGTGGCTTCTTCAGGTGGCACGTCTTCAGCTGCGTCATTTGTTCTGTTTTCCACTTCGTCCCAACTGAAATGTCCTGAACCGTGATAACGCCAAAGCCTGTTAGCATGCACCACTTTTGGTTTACCTCGCCGAC